TAAGGGTTCTTCTTTCGTTTCTTTCCTACCCCCCCCCCCGCTATTAAAATTCTAGAGCAGCATTCCTCCAGTTGAGTGCCTCAGGATATGCTAGGCTGAAGTCCTCAACCATCTCCCACCAGCAGTTCTGGCTTTGAATGATGGGAGTTGTAGTCCATCATAAATGGATGGCGCTATATTGGAGGAAGCTATCCAACAGCTATTTGATTTTCTTGTGAGGTAGATAATCAGAAACACAGAACCTATTCATAGGAGAATGGATGGATGTAAGCAGAAAATAAGAACCTAAGACTTAGGTCAGAAGAAAAAATAAATAAATTATATCTGTTGAGAAAGCCAGGTCTTCATGTTTCTAAATTCTCAAGCTTTCCAAGGGTATCTGAAATTTCAATTTGAGGTCACTTCCAAAAAAAATGTAAAGCTCAAATCTGGTTGATGGATTCTAAAATCAATCACATTGACTATAACCTTGCCAAATTCAATTCTATACTGTAGTCTTAGAAGAGGAGAATGCAGATTCAAACTGTTGTAAGCACGTGTGTGTATGAAGAAGAAAAAACTAATTGTGGTGGACGATCATTTTTAGAAATAGAATATTCAAAAATGCTTTAGTAACCTTAAGACCCCGCCCTATCTCTTTCATTCATTGCTTAGATGCTCAGGAAACTGATATCCTGGTTTATATGGGCCTTTGAATGGTTTCTTTCCAAGCATGGATTAGGACAACCACTCCATATCTTCTGCACTGTGGCAGCGGCTGATACTACAAGTCATCAGCAGGAACCTGATCACAAGCAGTGGCCTATGAGAGAAGGTCTGATAAGTAAGATGATTGAGAAAAAGTATCTGACGTACAGCCAGACACAATTTGCACTTGTCAATGCCAGTTTAGGAAGTAGCAAAACCAGCAACATCTGTAAGCACCAGCGATATGGAAATATGTTTGTTAAAGATAAAGCACTGATTTAACGATCTGGAACAGTGCAGTACTAATTTCATGCAAGCTTGTCCTGATTTGACATCATTTCTATAACAGCTTTGATCAAATTAGATCATGATCAGGTCTAAATAATTGAGCATAGTATGAATCTAAATTTACTCTAGACTTCTGGAATATAATATGGCAAACCCCTTTTCTCCCAAATATCAGGCATTGTTAAGTCCAAGATAAGGGACAAGATAAATAATTGTGAGCCCCTGTAAGAGGCTTATTTTGTGAAAGATGTTTATGTCAAAAGCAAATGGAAATGTTGAATGATCTCTAGGTAGAAAAGAAGGATATAAATAAAAAAATAATAATTCCTCCTTCCCCTCCTCAATAGCCCCATCTCCATTCCCTACTCACATTTGACACGGAGCTGTGCTGAAGTTTGTGAGTCGCCCGCCATGAAAGTGATGACTCCAGCATCATGCCGTGACACATGTACCAGTACCAAAATATGTGTTTTACCAAAGCTCCTGATTAGTGTATGTGGTGCCTCAACCAGTTCTTGCCCGTTACGGCCCCAACTTGGTGCTTCCACAGGTTCCCGTGTCTCCACGTAGAAAGCGGCATTTTCTCCTTCCATCACATCCAGTTTTCGTGGCAAACGCTTTACAATTAGACCTGAAGGAGGGAGTTTGGTCAATTACTAACAGAATGGAAACCCAAATGCTATTTAGCTGTCACCAAGATAATCATGTTGCAGTCACTACCATATTAGGGTGGCCATTTACTACTAGCCAGAAAGAAGGACTGTGATTTGCATTATTAATATTACAAATAGGTACCACTCTGTTAGGTCTTCTTATATAGAAAATACCTACCAGGTAACAGTTTAAATTTTGGAATATTATGATGTACTGTACATAGAATGCTGTAACACAATTGTGGATTACTTAGGGTGGCAAAGACCAGAGTCTTTGTCCACATGTGATCAAGACTCTGGTTTTGGCCCACCGACAATTCACAATGGTATACTATGTTAACAGCGTAATTTTGGGGGGGGTGCCTACTGAATCTTCTGTCCAGTTGCTAACATCAGAGCTCCTGCCTTGATAGAGTTCTTTATCATTAAATTGAGTTTAGACTGCACAGGCCTTCATAGCCAAGGACACCTTCAAACAGAGTAGTGTCCTCTGACAGCTCTTCAGACAAAGGATTATCTTATTGTACAATGTACAAGGGCTGGGGCTGGCAGAGTTAGAATCCATTAAGTCAAGAAATCTCAACCGTCTGCTAAAGCCACCAAGCCACCCACCTAATATCCTTCTGAAGAGGAGGAAGCCTAGGCTTCAGGAGCACAGAGATGTAATCTCCGACTCACCGGGGCAATCAACTGTTGTGTTTGAGATTTCATTCCTATCTGCAATAAAGATTCTACTGCAGTCAAGTCACATCTGAGAATATGCTGCCAAGTCCAGCTGAGAGCTGATTAAGGTTAAATGTCTACAGACCTGTGAGGTACTGCTGAGCCCAGGTATGAAGTCTTTGCCAGCTCGCATGTAAAATTATTATTCTTTATTATTATTGAATTCAATTTATAAAATTACTTCAAACAGCTCACCTTGCACCGAGAGCTCCCCAACGCTGCGGCCCTTGCCCTCCATCTCACACAAGTAGATGCCATCATCATCAGCCCGGGCATCACGCACAGTCAGTCGCCTTAGTAGGCCCTGTTCCTCCATCAGGTACTTGGGACTGGGTTGCAGGCGCTTGTCTTCCAGATACCATGCTGTAGGAATTGTCTCTAGAGGCACCTGGCACTCTAATACTGCATCTTGATGTTCCATCACTTCTACATCCACCAAAGGTGCCTGGAATCGTAGCCGGGGTTCTGGAAGGCAGACACAGAAAGACCTCATGTGGAGACCTATGCAGAAAGTCCTATATCCTTAGACTCAGCCTCAGTCTTCAAGGATCTGGGACTGACAGAGAGGCAGGGTAACAACAGTTCCTTTGTTGCCACTCCAACCCTTCTCCTTCAACCCTTAAGCTTCTTCATATTTTATTTCATAATTCTCCTCTCACTGTCCACTTCGCCAGAGTCAGAACTCTTTTAGCATATTTAACTGCAGCACGATTATTATATGTACAATGATGGAAAAGCAATGAAATCCCCACAGTGGAGGAACAAATTGTGACAATGTCAGAGCTCGCAGAAATGGGAAAACTGACCTGGTCAGAGAAAAAAACAACAAAAGCTTTTTTGAAAGACTGGAAATCTTATATGGACTTTTTGCTGAAAGAAGAAGAAATGAAATGATGGCTTACGAGTTTGAAGATTAAGATAGGCTTGGACTAAAAGAGCAGCTGAAGGAACTTATATAATACAGTATCTAAGAGGGATTATAAAATTGTAACTATCTGTTGAAAAGGAAGTCAGAGATCATTATATTTCTTAATTTTAGTTCTTTTCTTTTTTCATTTCTTGCACTTCTTTGTTTTTGTTTTTCTTTCTTTTCCTTTCTTTCAATTTGTCTTTTATTATATGGAAAAATTCTTAATAAAAATAAATAAATAAATAAATAAATAACTCTTTTAGCATATTTAAAGGAGTGCTGCTGTTTCTTGTACCTCCAGAAGACCATGAGCTCAGTTCCTATGAATTTTTCTGGCATGTATTTGGCATCCTCAGTCTCCCTGCTGAGAAACTGTGATGAACCTAGCTAAACTCTGTAGGGCTTGCCCACAAGGAGCAATCAGTAATAGGCACAGGCTTGAATTAATACAGAATCTTTCTTAAAAAAATACCTTCACTTTCTAACAAATGCTGTAGCAATCTCCCATAATCTTTACAGAATAATTTAACATTAAACTAGAATATTTTGATTATGGGTGTAAGGGTGTAGGTTGAACCTAATTGTTTAATGAATGGTGGCACCCTCTCTCCCTTTTAGAATGTTTTGCATTAAACTGACAAAGGATTACAAGCACAGGCATTTAATGCCATTATTTTTAACGTTTGGGATTTAAGGATTATTGAGAAAATGCCTGTCCTACCTTGGTTTGCTTTAGGGGAAGTGCAGGAGTGGGGAGGGGGGGAAGGAGGATGGCCCTTCTCCAAAGGATTATTCTGAGAAACAACAGAGGGCTAAGTGGGTGGCATGTGGTATCTATAGCACTCAAGCGCCATACTGTCAGCTCTTTGGAGCCTACTGCTATGGACACCTGCCCACCCATACAGCAAGCCAAGGATCAGAGCACAGAGATGAAATTGCAGGAAACAGCAATGTCAAATATCTTTGGAAGGACAGGTGGGAGTTGTTTAGATGGCACAGCTGAGCCCAGTGTTTTTGTTTCTAGAAGAGAGGCGCCAGGGTTAAACCTTTCTGAAAAGAAGTCTCCCCTGATCTGGGAGCCCCTTCTCTTAATCAACAATGCATAGTCCCTCTCCAAAGTTACAGAGTGCAAAACAGCTTTATATTGAACTGGAAATCATTTCCATTTTTTCCTACCAATTTCCAGGGTCAGGGATTTCCAGGGTTGAGTAGATGTTGGAGCTGAGACCTAGATGAGCCTCTTTTCTTATCCTCAGGGTAATGGCAGTTACAATTCTTCAAGATGTCCACCCATGTTTAAAAGGGCAGAATCACCTTGGAAATAGTATTTTGAGCCTGCTCTATACAAGCAGCAGATGAAGTAAGATAGAGGAGGTTTTCCTGACTGTACCACTTCATCTGGTATTGGATAATATTTGCACACTCACCCTACAGGAAATTAGCATTTCTGGGAGAAGGCCAGGCTAAAGCTTAATTTCCTATATTTATTTACTGATGTGCTGTTTGCATTGCCCATATTATAAATAATCAATAGTCCGTTGGCCAATGCTTTACTGTATTCCAGTGTTTCTCAACCTCGGTGGCTTTATGATGGCTGGAGAATTCTGGGAATTGAACTCCACACATCTTAAAGCTGCTGAGGTTAAGAAAAACACTGGTTTATTCAATCACTGAATGGGGCTTTGGAGGCCCAGTTATTTCTGCTGCTATATGTACAGTCCCATCATTGTTGTTGTGAGCCGCTCAAAGCTGTTTTTAGATGGGCAGCCACACAAATCTTTTAAATAAATAAATATAAATAAATAAATAAATAAATTACAGTCTGCCATCTCCCTCTCTCTCTCTCTTCCTAGACTAATTTTTCTTTCCTCCCTTTGTCCACGCAGGTCCCATCATGACATATGCTATGCCTATTTTTAAAACGTGCAGCCACTCCAGGCTCTCTGCATGGCTATTCTACAGACAGAAAAACTTTCCTGCTATTTAATTCCTCTTTTTCCACTCAAGCCCATCTCCCCTCTTGCCTGACCCTCAAGAGGTTTAGATAACAGTCGATTCCCTTACCAAGAGCAGCCTTTGACATATAACTGAAGCCTGTTATCTTGCATCCACCCCTCTGACTCTCCTCTCCAGGCTAAACAAACTTTACTCCTTCTGAGCCTCACATTGCATTCCATAGGCTTTATCAGCTCTCTTGCTCTCCTCAGAACATTCTGCAAAATTCATGAGTTCCATGTATCACCCAAGCATCTCTCTTGAAACAGCAAAGAGCCTGAAATCCATCTATTGATATACCACACAGTGAAAACCCTTTTTATAACCCTATTTGCTCTCCCCTTGTCATTTGCCTCAGTTCCATTAACATCCCGCCTCTTCTTTTCCCATCTTCTTCATGGTGTGATCTCTGCCATTCTGAAGGTCTGTCCCAAAGTTGAGGCTCAGAGTTGTTAAACCTGGAACCCTTCTTTCTACTGAGGTGGTACTGAAGGCAAGGAACAATCCCAGGAGCATGTCAGATGTTGAAGAGCAACCATGTCTTAAACATCACTCTCTCATCAGACTGAAATCTGGCAGTAAATGGCAATTTTTTATAACTTTTTTAAAGAACCTTAAAATAGGGTATTAAATATTTGATAAACTATTTGGAATAAGAAAATTATTCCAAATCCCACCCCAGTAGATTGAACATTTCAGCCTATTTTGCATCATTGGCCCTCATAGCCCAATACATGAAAAATTAAATTAAATTAAATTAAATTAAATTAAATTAAATTATATCCTCTGCATGGAGGAGAGTAGCCCATCCCTACCAAAATAAAGAGCAGATATAGTGTTAAAATGTTTCTTAGGCTACTAGTTCTGACTGCTGGTGATACATCACACAATGATAATATTATCTTCATATTCAAGGAGGGAAGAGAACACGTCTTGCACATATTGAACTAACAGTTAAGAGAAAGAGAAATGCTGGTCTAGAGGCTCCCGCCTGCTTCTCAGACCCATCTTGTAATCCCTCTGAGAAATTCTTGCTCCAGGCCTCTTCCCATTCTCCCAAGTGGACTGGCCACTCTGGAGTTGCACCTCCTCTTGCGGTAGTCTAATTTACCATAGGCTGGATTGGTTTATAAATTAGTCCAAGCTCAAAATTTATGCCATGGCATGCCCTTCAAGCAATACCCATATATTTTTCTTTCATTCTTGTAGTTGGTAGGTATGTCCCCCTTTGATTTGTCTGGTAATAAATAAATAATTCTTTCCTTTGGAGTTGCCCAGACATACACCGCTTTCATCCACTAACACGCCACAGCTGGGCTTGCACACCCCATTTATCCAGATCAATTAAAGTTCCTTATGAGCCCAGTCAATGTGTTGCCATCCAGATTCAGTGCTATTCCCACATCCCACCACCCACCACTCTTTTTCCTCCCCATTGGTGGATACCTCTGACATGGAGGCTCACAGCGCTGAGCGTCTGGCCAGCCATGTTGCAGGCTGTGCACACATAGAGCCCACAATCTCGTGCTGTGCAGTAAAGCACCTTAAGGATGAAGTAGCCCTCCCTGTCCTCATAGAGCAGGTGTCTTCTTCCAGGGGACAACACCTTCCCGTCCTTCTGCCAGACGATCTCTGGCTTGGGCTTGCCAGTGACGTAGCAACGGAACTTGGCGTGCTTCCCTTCATTCACAGTAAAACACTTTGTAGGGGGGAAGCCGGGAAGCACTTCTCCATTCTGCCTGGCTTCAGACAATACCATCTGCCCAGGATGGTGCTGCTGCCTCTTCTCTTCTTGTGACTCAGGTGGCTTCTTGAAATGGCAGTTTTGGGGAGCCCCCTGAAATGGGTCATCATGAGGAAGGCACGCCACAGGATCTACCAGGAGCACAGCTGCAGCCATGGTCTCTCCAAAGCTGTTCTGTGCTCGACACACATAAACACCTGCATCTGGCAATCGGGCATTATAGATGTGCAGAGAATGCCAGTCCCCAGGCTCTACATCTATTTTGTAATGGCTACTCTCAAAGATGTCTGATAATTTGCGTCCATCTTTTTCCCATTCAAGCTGCCCTGAGACTCTACAGGCAAAGGTCACATCCTGTCCCCGGGTCACGCATGCTGAGACAGGCCTGTTCAGGAAGATGGGTGGCTGGCTATCAAGATCTCCCTTAGGTTTCAGTTCAGTCCCTGTCTCCACTTTCAGCAGGGCAGCTGCGTAGGTTTCACCCACACTATTCTTCGCTTTGCACACGTAGCGTCCACTGTCTGCTGGACCAGCCTGAGAGACCAGCAGACTATAGGCATCCCCATTCACCTCAACAAGCATCCGGCCAGAGGGCAGTTCCAGCGCAGAGCCGTCTTTCTCCCAGACAACGCTGGGACGCGGCTCCCCGGCCACCTGCCATTTCAGGACTGCATTTGTGCCACTTTGGACTGTGAAAGTGCGAGGAGAGGCAAGAAATCGGGGAGCTCCACCAAAAGCATCCATTGCCAACCTAGTCAGGATACAGCTCAGGCTGGGGACCTATAAAGAATCAGATCAAGACAGAATTAGAGTCGGAGGAGGAGGAGGAGGAGGAGGAGGAGGAGGAGGAGGAAGGGTTGAAAGAAGGAGGACAGTATCCTTCTCTTTGGTTCTATCTCGTTCAGTTAAGCTGAAATGAGAAGAGAAAAGCTACGTGGAGTAAACAGCTCAGAGCTCAGTTGGGCATATGTGATCCCTTCACATTTCACCCTCATTCTCTCGCGTGTTTATATGTTTCTCGATCTCAATCTCCATGTCAGTCTTGGCTCTGACTTTAAACTCACTGCTATTCAATCCTCTTCCAGCTTTGCCATGATGTTATAAAACTGGGTTTGAGTGGGAAGCTGGGCACCCAGTGAAGCTATTGCCCAGCTATTAGCCAGGGGAGCCCAGAGCCATTCCAGCCCATTACTCTCACTGCCCTCTCTGCAGCAAATGGCATCTCCAGGATAACCCCAACACATATTCTCATTTTACATCATCCTTTTTCCATGAGGCTAGCTCTTTGGGGGATTGTGCTGATCTCAACTGAGTTGGGCTAATCTGCATGGGGTCAATAAATAGACAATCCTATTTTAAAATTGGGAACTGGACTCCAGTGGATAGGTCCTGTGGTGAAAATAAGATTATAATAACATTAACCCTCCAAGTAGGGAGAGATTAAGTCTCCTTGCCCGAATCTTAGCAGCTGCTTCCCGGTAGCATGATGCAAGGTCATGGCAGAACTATGACCTTTCATGAAATTCTCTGTTTGCATAAAAGTGGCTGAAAAGGTTTCTCCTTTGTGTCCATATGCATCTTCAGCCACTTCAAGGTACGATTTACCTTCCTCTTCATTCCTACCTCATTAGTAGCTACAGGGGTGGGTAATTCTGGAGGCTACCCAAGAACTACACTTTCTGGTTTTCAGAGAGGTGAGGGCCGCAGTGAGGGCAGAGTTGGTGGGTTATCATGTCACACACAGAGTCATTTTTTAAAGTCACTGTTGTTTTCCCAGGTTTGGAGGGAGCCAAGGCATTTCGTTTTAAATCTTTTTAGGGCTTACACTACATTTTTAAGTATTTCCTACCTCAAAATGTCAGGAGATGATGCGATTGATTTTCAGCAGTTGTGTTCAGATGGGTTTCAGCAGCTGAAAAACAAAAAAAGAGGCTTAGGGGCCACATTATTTGTTTATTTGCTTGCTTGCTTGTTAGATTTATATCCCATCTTATTTCCAGAAGCTCAAGGCAGCTTATATGGGAATTTTGCTTCCTTTTTTAAAAAAACAACACATCAACCCCAGGAAATACACTGAACTGAGAGTCACTGACCCAAAGTCACCCAATGAATTCCATATTCAGGGTGAACCATGAGATGTTGTGACCTCATCATTCAAATTACTTGTGGCATTTACACAGTGACATCACGATGTGCAGGACAGCATTTTGACATCACTGTGGTTTGTAACAGATGCTTACAGGGTGGATTTGCCCCAGTCCTAGTCCAACCCCTTAACCAACATGCCACTTTGGCCTTGGGTTGTCCACCCCTGCTCTAGCCCATCTCAACACAGTGTCTGTTGAATCCACCAGAAAGAAGAATGCAGAGACCACACTAAATTTCTGATTTGCAAAATAGGCATGAAGGGGGCCTAAGGAAATACATTGTGTATACGTGCAACTATATTTCAACTAAAGCTCAAGGGTGGCTTGTAGCTCAGCCACCATCCCAGCATATTTCAAGCATTTGCATAAACTGGATTCCCAATATTGTATGATTGTATGTTATAGGGCAAGTGGGAACTAAGACAGATTGCCCGGGGACCCCTTAGTGAGAGGCAGAGTGATGCGAGATTTGAACTAGGAGCTTCC